CGTCGCCCGCGCCGTCGCCCGCCTGGGGAGGTAGCAGAGTCGGCGGTCCCTCCGGCTCCAGCTTGACCGCCACCTCCGTCTGCTCCTCCGCCAGCGCCGCCATTTTGCGGCTCAGCCACTACGCGCCGTCAAGCGTGATTGCGTTTCCGCCACATGGAGGGCGGGGAGGAGGATTTCACAACAGTTGTGGCAAGCGATTTACGGCAGTAGGAGGAGCAAGCAAGGAGGCGGAAGGGAATGGGAGAGAGAGCTACTTTCAAAAACGGGAAAAGTTGGCGGGCCGGAAGTAAGAGTTGATAACCGCCTGTTACATTTGCCGGATGATAATTACGTTTATTGCATGCGTGTATTCGGGCACTGTAGAGACATTTAAGGTGCTGTTATCCCGGGGGATTTTACAGAGAGGTTGCATAATTTGCCAAAATCACACAGGAGTGTCAAGATTGAAATCCAAGTCCTAAATTCAAAACCACGTATCATTTGCCAAAAAGAGACTAAGAGATACAAGTAATGTTTTATATTGTGACAGTGATTATTTTTATTTTTTTATTTTTGTGACTTTTGCTTTTGTAAAAAGTACCTGCAGGGACAGGGATTTAGCTCAGCGGTTCCGCCACGTGCCTCGCAAGTGCAAGGTCTCAAGTTTAGTCCCCGGTGCCGAAAAGAAAACCTTGCTATCACAGGTTGTAATTGTAAAATGTGTATGTTATGTATCTGTGCTGTTATCCATTAATGCAAATAAACTACATTTTTAAAAAATCATATATGCTTCATAAGTGGTAAAACATTGCTGCATGTTTTGTTTTGTTGGGTACCGCGGATTGAACTGGAGACCTGATGCTTGTGAGGCAGGCGGCGGCAGCACTGAGCTAAATCCCCTGCCCAGTGCTGCATATTTTATCTCATTCAAACCTTGTAACTCTCTGGGATAGATACAAACGTGAAGAATAAGCCTGGGACGTTGGGATCTAGCTCAATTGTTCAGTGATGGTTTTGAGGTCTCACTGGCTTCCTTCTGCCCTGTGTACTGGCTGAATGACCTAGAGCAAGATACATAATTCACTCTAACTGATCCCCTATTGGGGGATACGGGACCTGAGAATCAAAGCCTGGCCTCACTGAGCTACATCACCAGCCCTTTCTCTGGTTTTGAAACAGCTTCTCACTAAGTTGCCTGGGCTGGGCTGGAATTTGTGTTGGTCTTGCATCAGCCTCCCACAGTGCAGGGTTGCAAGTAGGCACCCACCGCACCCAGCTCCCAGATACCCAGTTTTTAAAACAGATAGCAGTACCTACCTCGAGGTGTTTGGAGGGTTAAATGAGATAATGTTTATGTGATATCTAGTATATAGTAAATAGCCATTGGTTTTTGTTTTGGAAGAGGTTGGTTTGGTTTTGAGTGTTTTTTTTGTTTTTTGTTTTGGTACCAGGGATCAAATTCAGGACCTTGAGCTAGTGAGGCAGGTATGGCACCACTGAGCGAAACCCGCGGCTCCATTGGTTATTTTTATTTCACCCTAAAAGATGTTGTGAAAACACTTGATCAAATAAGTTCAATCATGATGTTTAGGATGACGTCAAAACTGAAGTATCAAACTAATACAATTGTACATCTAATTGAGGAACACGAAGCCAGGTGTGCTGGGACACTCCTGCCATGTTGACACTCAGGAGGTTGAGGCAGGAGTTGGCTCAAGGCCAGCTTGGGCTATATAGTGAGACCCTGTCTCAAAAAAAAAAGAAAATTGTGCTGGGGATTTAGCTCAGTGGCACGGTGCCTGCCTCAAAAGCACAAGGTTCTGAGTTTGATTCCCAGGACAAAGAAAGAAAGGGGGAGGGAGGGAGTGAAGGAAGGAAACTTGGGGTAGTGGGGGTAGAGGCAGAGATAAGAATTAGCATTTACACCACAGTAGTCAAGACAAAGAGAACCTTCATCAGATTGTACACACTTAGGAGATAGAGGGATTCATCCTTTCCCTCAGAATCATTCAACTGTTATTTTTCTGATTCAGTATTCACTAATTACCTTAAAAATTAACTGGTAATTAATTGAGCATTTAGGTAGATGGTGGGTGCCATACATGACAAGCCCAGGTATGCTTACTTACTGTTCACTGGAGAGATGTTTTACCTCTTTGTGAATAAATAGATCAACATTCTGATGCATATATTAATATCAGGAATCACATCCTGGGAACTGGATCCTCCTGTTTAGTTTAAGCCCAGATCCCACGAAAATACAGCCACCTTTTTCCCCCTCAGACTTACTTTCCTCACCACTGGAAAAAAGAAGGAAAGGATTATTTTGGCTTCGCAGTTCACAGAGGTGTCAGTCCACAGTCGGCTATTTGCGTTGACAGGCAGCATGGCAGAGGGGCCCTGTAATAGCTGCTCACAGCTTGGCAACAGAGAAGCACAGAGCATTGTGGGAGGAGTGGGGAAGGGAAGTCTGCCCTTCCAGGCCGCACCACTGGTAACCATCTGCTCTGCCCAGATCCCGCCTCCTAACAGAAAGTCAGTGGACTACTCCATGGATGAGGACCCTGCCCCCATGAGCTAATTACCTCCCAAAAGCCCCACCTATGAGCTTATGAGGCTTTGGAGGCATCTAGATATAAGCCATAGCATTCTAAGAGTCCTAACTCTTACCTGGATTTTTTAAATTCCAAAGGGTCTGAGTTGGCACTTTAGAGTTAGAACTTTTACTGAGGTTACTCCAAGTACCGTGATTTTTCTGTTACCCCTGCCCCTATTTTGTGATACTGCAGATATAACCTAGGACTTTCACACTGAGCTGAGCTACATACCCAACCCTTTTATTATGTTTTGTTTTGTTTTTTGTCTTGTGACACAGTCCCACGGAGATACTAAGTTTCCCAGGCTGGGCTTGGATTTGGGATCCCCTGCCTTACCCTCCCAGAGTGCTGAAATGACAAGTGTGGGCCACCACAGTCAGCTTCTAGTATTCTTACCATGCAAGTATTGATACCGATGGTTCTATCTTCAAGGTCAGTTTACTCATGTTTTTGTTTACATATTTCTGATACCTGCTTGGAGAGTTCCTCTACATGATTTTTCAGTGAAGTAATACTTTTTTGTTTGTTTTTTTGTTTTTTGAGACAGGGTCTCACTGTGTAGTTGAGACTGACCTGGAACTCACTATATAGCCCAGGCTGGTCTCGAACTCACAGTGATCCTCCTGCCTCAGCCTCCCAAGTGCTGGGATTACAGGCGTGCGCCACCATACCCCGCTCAAAGTAATACTTTTTTATTGTCTGGATTCCTATTGACATATAACCCGTGTATGGAGTTTTTTTATTTCAATTTGTATATTTTTTTACAGTGTTTTAAGTTGACTCTTCATGATTGTTCCTGCCCCAGATTAGCCAGAAGGGTGATTTTATCCCCTCTTGTGGACATTTGGCAATATCTAGAGACATTTTGGTTGGCGTAACTCAGGATGGGGAGCACTGCTGGTGTCAGCAGGTCCAGGTCTGGGGTGCTGTTAAACTTACCACATAATACAGAACAGAACTGCACCATAAACATTTCCATTAGTCACTTTCCAGTTCCCAAATAACCAACACCTACCATGTAAAGGAGAGGTTTATTTTGGCTCATAGTTCCATGGGGTTTAGTCCATGGTTGAAGGGCTCCAAGGCAGAAACAGGATGGTCAAAGGGCCTGGTTGAAGAAAGTTGCTCATGTCAAAGCAGCCAGGGCAGGAGACCAGATAATAAGGATGGAGGCCACCTTAACCTTCTCTGCAAGCACAAAAGAGAAAAGCAGCAAGCTGTGCCACTTTTGGCAACATGCAGGCATGCTAGCATGTTGCAAGTTCCAAAGAAGAGTCAGCATAGTTGAGATCTGATGTTTACCTGGGAACATGCTGTAGGTAACAAGAGGCAGGTGAATCTTCTATTAATTTAATTGTTCATTCCCATGTCTAAGTGAATAAAAGTGAGGTGAGCCAAACGATCAGGGCTCTGTCCACTATAGGCAAGAGCCCCTTGATCCCCTCATTCTACATTATCTTTGTATCTTTTGTCTTTCATCCTCTTTTACCCTGGATCGGGATAAACTCAAGCTGGTTCCTGCAAGCCAGGAAGCACCGTGAGAAAGGAGGACCTGGGAAAAGAATACACTTTTGCAGCCAGTCATGGTGATTCATATCTGTAATCCCAGCACTCTGGAAGGCTGAGGCATGAGGGCTGCAATTTTCAGCCCAGCCTGGGCAATTTAGGGACTTATTGAGACCTTATATCAAAATTAAAATGAAGGGCCAAGGATATAGCTCAGTGGCGCCTTGCCTTCCTGGCAAGCACAAGGTCCTGAGTTCAAAAAGTACCAAAAGTTTTTTAAAAATAAAAATGAGAAAAGAGCTGAGGATGTACCTCAGCACAAAGACTCTGGGCTCAGTCCCCAGTACCATAATAAATAGATAGATAATATATCATAAATTTGAGGTTCATAGAAATGTTGAAGCTCACTATCTTAGATTTATACTCCCCAAATCATCGCTCTGTTTTTCTATGATTCCTTTGGATAAATAACACAGACAAAAATACAAAATTCAATAGAAAAAAAGTAAAATAAAGTTAAGAAATATATTTAAAAATACATCATTTCATGTCAAGTCTCCAGTGATCCAACCCTTTCAATGGGGCCATACCTCTGAACACATGAGACTTTTAGTGGCTGTTTTAATCTAATCAGTAACATCCTGCCCCTGCACCTCAAAAAGCTCACATTCATCCCATTATACAAAATACACTTAGTCCGTCTCCAAGTATCATCAAGGGCTTCACAGTTCCAACATTGCTCTAAAATTCAAGTCCAAAGTCTGTTCTGAGACTCAAGGCAAACTCTTAGCTGTGAGCGCATGTAAAAATAAAAAGAAGTCAACATACAGTACTATGACACAGGGTAAACATGCCCATTGTGAAAGGAGGGATAGGGAAGTAGAAAGGAATGGGACCAAAGGAAAACCAAAACCTGGCAGGGTGAGCGTTAAATTTTAGCACTCCAGTCTGGCAGGTTGGGTGAGAGGTGAACTCCAAATGACTTGGGCAGCCCCATCCCTATGGCCTTGCTGGTTGTAGC